GACGACTGTGCGTATGAGTGCGGCTGATGGTTTCACACAGCTGTGGCTGCGTCTTTCCTGTTCCTTTCCGTTTGCCTTTTTCTCTCATCGCCTGCGATCATTAGTCCCACTGTGCTCTCTATGTGTGAGGTCAGAGCGACACACGCACACATTAGACACCACAGCGCCCCCTACTGGTGCAATTACAAGCTCATTCAACATCATTACTAGGAAGTGAGGTGTACAGAAGTGTGTGTGTGGTCAGATCATGGTGTATATGTTGTGTGTGTCTTTAAGTGGCTTTGATTGTGTTAACGGACAGACAGTAACTAAATCGTTCTTCCTCATCTCCATTCTGTATGTTTGTGTGTGTGCTTCAGCAGTCCCGCCCACAGCCAGATTTCCGGTGAGTTAGACGTCAAAACCTCTCTGTACCTTACACACATTTACATCATTGATGACACACGAGGGCAGTGCTGTTTATTAGTTCTATTCAATTCCATTCTGTTCTGCCCTATTCTATTCTAGATTCTACTCTTCTACTGAAGGTAGACCTGTTTGTTAATTTTATTCAATTCCATTCTATTCCCTTCTGTTCTGTTCTGTTTGATTCTATATTGTGCTCTTCTACTGAGGGTAGACTTGTTTGTTAGTTCTATTCTATTCTGTTCTATTCTATTCTATTCTATTCTATTCTACTCTACTCTACTCTACTCTACTCTATTCTATTACACACATTCAAAAAGGCTGTCCAATAATAAACAAAAACTTTATTTGGCTTTTATTACTGAATACATTTTACTTTTGTGTGCACATTACACTCATATTCTTTGTAGATGCTTTCTTACTAAATTAATTTGCAAGTATATTTTCAGTATGGTGTTCAAAATGCCAGTACTTTTGCAAACCTGCTGCCGATGTCATTACATATGCTTGATACAAAAAGACAAATTGAGTCAATAGGTAACCACATTGCACTGGCAGAAAAACACAAGTGCTCAATTTCCTCCCAGGGTTTGAGAAAAGCCATCTATCCATCCATCTGTTATAGTGCTAGTTAGTGGAGTAGGGGAGGTTAACAGAAAGGCTGCTAATCTTTTTTTCCATGTCTGCTGTACTCTTTGTCCTCAAAGGCTTTGAGAAGACATGACGCCGAAACCCCGGAGGCTGATGAGAACTTCAGAAATAGACTGCAGAGATCAGAGAATGAGAGAAGCAAGGTGTGTGTGTCTTTGATATTGAGTTGACGTGCACAAATGGCATAAATATATTATTAATCTTAGTTCCTCATATGGTATTCAGATTATGTAAGCAGTGATTACATCTAATAGGGTTCTGTAAGTTTGAAACTAAACATATAAGTTTTATATGTGTTTTCATAAAAAAAAACAAAAAAAAAAAACTTTAATGCATGTAGCATCTTAGATCCTATAACAGTCTACTCTACTCTACTCTACTCTACTCTACTCTACTCTTCTATGTAGAGGATTGTTCTTCAGTTCAGTTTTTATTCCTATTCCAGAATTCCCAAACTTTTTAATTTCCTGGTTAAGTTTATTTCCTAATTAAATGTAAAAAACAAATGTTTTTAGTCAGCTGAACCCCTTTGACTTTTTTTTTTTTTGCATTTACTTTTATGTTGTATATATTTAAATATTTACTTATACATGTACTTTTCCCCCTAATATGTATTCATATTTAAATATTTATTAAAAATTTAATATTAAATATTTATTAAAGGGGTCATATGATGCAATTTCAATTTTTCCTTTCTCTTTGAAGCTCTTGGTGCATAAAGAAGATCTGTAAAGTTGCAAAGACTAAAGTCTCAAATCAAAAGAGA